TTTTTTTTTTTTTTTTTTTTTTTTTTTTTTTTTTTTTTTTTTTTTTTTTTCATAGGGGCCGTAATGAAATTTGTGTATAGGTTCAATGGCTGAAAGCTAAGTATGAAACATGAGGATTGAGTTTGGCAAGTACTTCTCCGTCATCTCTTTCCTCTAATTCTATCCAACTATTTTATTCATTTTATCCTATTTATGTCTTTTTTTTCAATCTTGTTTTCGACTAAAATAAGATTATTATGTCCACCTAATTCATTTTCTAAATTAATTCTCACCATGTTCTAAATTCGAATCAAGACATTAACCTCGTACATGATGTTGATACCCACTTCTAACATGGGTTCTTTTAAGATACATGTTTGTCTCAAATTTGTGTTAAATAGGTTTTGATATCCGAGTAAAGGATAAGTATATAAATGAACTAACGTCACATTCAAATGAGAGTGATCTTAAGGATATGAAAGATACGAAAGACTTAAAAGAATTAAAAAATATTATTTATACTAATAAAATGCAACTTTCTTTTTGGTGGCTCAATCATAAGAACGCAAAAATTAAGGGTGCTTGGCTTGGGTCAATCCTATTGTGGTTGACCTTTTTGTAACTTTTCGTATGAAACATGTGAGTGAGGACAAAACAGGCTGAAATGACCTGTGTTGGGTTGTGGGAATAGTTTTTACTCTTATAAATACTTCAAAACACGAGTAGGTAGCATGAGTCATGTCACAAAGGATGCAGGAGAACATTCGGTCCATTAGGCGTCGAATCCGTATTTCAAATCCTGATCTAAATTTTGGTCACGAGATATTACAAATGTTATCAGAACAAAACCTTTCCTAGTAGATGTGATTCAAAGACGAACCCAAGATAGAAGCTAGTGGGCATATCACGCCCGAGTAAATGAGGGCTATATGAATGAACTAAGACGACACAGATACTCTTTCTTCAATGATATAATAGTTTAACTAATTGAATTGTCCATGTAACGGCTAGTCTCTATATATATATATATATATTAGCCGAAAAAAGCGAGAATTTTGGGGGACGTTTTATGAGATTTATTTATTAATATAACATATATGATAGACAAGTTATGATTTTTTTTTTAAATAATAAAAAAAAACTTAACTACTCAACCCAACTCAACCCAATGCATAAATAGAAGATTTGGTTGGGTTGTGAACTTTATTCGGTTGCTTGAGCTACCAATCCAACTAACCCGAAATCTCGAGGTGGTCCAAAAGATTTCTCCAATCCAACATGTGTACACCCCTAAACATGAAGGCGATATACATAGTGTGAGATCTCACATCGATTGGAGAGGAGAACGAGACACCGTATAAGGGTGTGGAAACCTTTCACTAGCAGACCCATTTTAAAAAATTTTAGGGGAAACCTGAAAGAAAAAGCCCAAAGAGGACAATATCTGTTAGCGGTGGGCTTGAGCCGTTACAAATGGTGTTAGAGCTAGACACCGCGCGATGTGCCAGTAAGGACGCTGGGTCCCGAAGGGGGGTGGATTTGGTGGTCGTCTCTAATCAATTGGAGAAATGAATGAGTACGATGCTAGGCCTCGAAGGGGGTGGATTGTGAGATTCCACATCGATTGAGGAGGAAAACGAAAAACTCTTCATAGACGGTGAAAACCTCTCCCTAGTAGATGCCTTTTAAAACCCTTGAGGGAAAGTCTGAAAAGTAAAACCCAAAAACGACAATATCTGCTAGCGGTGGGCTTGGATCGTTACACATAGAGTCGATATATATAAGATTGAAAGAAAAGTCGGTGAAGAAAGTTGAACGAAAATGACATGGTATTTAGAAACTCTTAATGAACTAATTTGAGACCAAAAAGATGTATGTGTTGACTTGATGGGGCACAACATCAAATGCCTTGTCACCCAATGCTTCTTCCTTATCTTATATTAGACCATTCCAACTTTATGCACATTTTTCCAATGCTAATCAAATTTTTAATTTTAATTATCTTATTAAAATTAATAAATATCATCAAGCCCTAAACAAAAATTAAACTTTTTTAAAAACTAAAAATCAATAATTGGACTAATATAAGTTCTTCTCGAACCCTATGCATAAATATAAAGACCCGAAGATACTCACTTCTCTCAAATATTAAAATTCTACAACTCTGTTAAGTAAGACTAAATATTACAAAATAGACAATTATTCGGTAAAATCTACTAACGTACTAGGGATGTTTATATGACTCGATAACTAGACTAACTTGGACTACCGAACTCAAACCATAAATGTTGAGTTGGGTTAGATTTTTTTCAGTTTGAGTTCGGTTGAATTTTTAAAAAATCCAACTTAGCTTGTGGGTTGACATTTTTTTCATCCGATCAACTCAACAAACCTGAAAATAGAGTTACAGTTCAACTCTACCCTACTTTTAGAAGATTAAGAATATTTAACCTTTGTAACCGATGTTACTACTTGAATTTTATGAGATTTTATATAACATGTACGGTGGATAAGTATAATTTTTTTAAAATAACTAAAAAACGGGAACAACCCAGTAACCTAACCTAAAAATAGAGAGTTACGGGTCACTAACCCAACCAACCCGAAACTTCGAGTTGGTCTAAAAGATTTTTTCAACCCAATCTAATCCGTGTACGTTCCTACTTATAAGTTAGTCAAAAGTTGATGAATATCGAAAACATGAGAAAAGTGATTAATACTAAAATAAGGGAAAAAAACAAAGTAAAGCATATGGAAATAAGGAGGATGTTGGATCCAAAAATAATGTTGTCTGTGCTTTAATAAAGAGGACAAAAGAAAATCTTATGCCTTTTTAGTTGTAATCTTTGGCCAAACAAACAATTAAGCCTTTAATTCAAAGCTTAGGAGACATAAAAAACATTAAATTCTTCTTATAAAGTTATACGTGCTTTGGGTGTTTGGACCCTAACATAGCTACCCGAACCGTGCGCTCTTGTTTCTTCGTGTCTTCCTTTTCTACTCATCCTTTTCGGTATTTGATGTCCTCGACATTTCTCTGCTTCCCCTATAACGTCCATTCATTCAAGTAACATCGGTATAGGGCATGGTGAGGCAGTCTCCTACACTCTTGGAACAAGATTGGTAAGCATACATACCTAGCTCAGTCATTAGAGTTAGAGTCCACTCACAGTTAATCGTTACAGGAGAAGCAGAAACGTATACTTGATGTTCTCGACATGACTATGTTACCTGCTCTTCTTGAAGTGCTTACGTGATGTTCTTCTACTGCGATATGACTACGTTGTCTACTTGTCTTGAAATGTTTACTTGATGTCTTCAACTTTCTTATGTTTTTTCTACGACATGACTACGTTACCTACTCTTCTTGAAGTGCCCACCTGATGTTCGTAGCATTTCTCTACTTCCCTGTGATATGACTATGTTGTCTACTTGTTTTGAAATGTTTACCTAATGCCCTCGACATTCTTATGTTCTTTTCTACGTTTTCTTTATAGTATGGATGCAAGGGAATGTCGGGAGCATATATGTGTCGAATCCAAAATTTAAATTCGGGGCTCGGGATAGACTTTCTTGTCCCCATCTTTGCCACCTATTCTATTTCTCGTTTCTAGAAAATTTTCCATTTATTTTTACTGAGGTGATGAGTCTCTTACACGATACTATTATTTTTTGTTTAATTTCTTTTTTGAAATTTCAAAATATATCATTTGAAAAAAAATTAAAGGGAAACCCTCAATTATATATATATATTTTTTTTTTTTTTTTTTGAAGGAGAAAAAGGTCATTTTCTACTCAACAATATTTAAAATAATAATAATTATTATTATTTATTTAATATTTTTATTTTAAAAAAAGTAACAGTAAAAAGATGTTAACAGCCTTCTGTAGGCCTAAGCCATTTTCTTGTATAAATATGTAAACGCAGAGCTTCCCCTTTGTTTCCATGGCGTATTACCAGTAGCAGTCAACAACCACTTCATCTTCTTCTTCTTCTTCTTAAGCTTCATTTTTCTTCATTCTCCTTTCCTTTCAATCTCACCGGAAAATGGAGCAAAACTGGCGAGTCCGTTTAGGAATTCCAAGGTTCCGTTCCCGGAGATTGGAAGAGGAAACCCCGGCCAAACACACCTGTTCCAGCGCCGGAACTTTCGACGTTAATAACTTCTCCGACGTCTTCGGCGGTCCGCCTAGGACTATCCTCTTCAGGCAATTCTCCGACATGTTTGAGGGTAAAGACTCCACTTCCTTCTACGAAGAAATATTCCGATCCACTGAGTTTGTTTCTCAGCCGCAGAAACGCGGACGGAGCTTGCCGGCCTTTAGAATTCCCGTTAAGGAGGATAGGTTTTACCGAGATGTTTTTGGATCGGATGACGACCGGTGGTCGAGAGATAGGTCGGAGCCGTGCTCCAAGGAATTCACCAGATCGAACTCGTCTTCCGACCTCAGCCCTCTCCGGCCGATCATCGCTGAGGATGTGGCATTCCCTTCCTCGTCTTACAATCACAGGTTGGTAGTGTTCTGCAGAAAGTGAGGGGCCGGTCCCCTATTTTGGATTATTCAATTGGACATGTATGCCCCTAAGGCTTAGGTCATTTTTCATCTCTTGTTTGATTTTGTTTGGCTGTTTCCTGTGAGTAATTTAGAAAACTGATGATCAATCTAGGTTTTGATTCATAGCAGTAAGTTTATGAAACTAACAACCAATTGTGTTTCTTGTGAGTAATTTTGCTTAGACTTTAATCATAAAGCTCATGTTTGATTGCAATATGTCTGTAAATTGATACTGTTTTGAAGCTTGATTTGACCAGCATTGTCTTGTACTTTGTTTAATGTGATTCTTTGTTCCCATAATTTAGTTTGACTGAAAGAATTCAATATCTATCTCCTGATTGAAATAGGCCAAGCAATGTTCCAAATCAATGGAACTCATACAATTCCATGTTCAAGGAACAAGAAATGCCACAGTTTCCACCTGATCTCTCCGCCCATATCGATAACCCATATGTGGAAGATGAATATGATGATTGTTGTAGAAGCTCATACCATGGATTTGAAGAGTATATGTCGTCCCAAGAAACCGTTATTATGGCACCAAATTCATTCAGAAGTATCAAAATCTGTGTGAATGATTTGGAACTAAACTCCCCATCATCTGCTGATTCCTCACTCTGTGAAGATCCAGTTTATTATGGTGGTATTCATGGTAACGTTTTACCAGAAGACGACAATGACGACGATGACGACGAAGATGCTATGAGCTCTTATGTCATTGAGATAAATTCCATCAATAGAGAAGAATATAGAGAAGAGGTTTCTATAGATGAAGCAATTGCTTGGGCTAAATCAACGAATCAAAGTCCTGCATCTGAGACAGATTTGAGTGTTAGACAACAAGAAAGTGAGCAATCTGGGGAAGAAGAAGGTATAACTTCAGTAACAACGCCTGTATTTTCACTCACAGCCTGTTGAATATCAATATGTTCAAAAGTGAAAATCCTAACACTATTCTCCTTTTTGTATTCTGCAGGAAGACCTGTTCTGTTTGAATTTGCAGATCAGCAGTTGGATCGAGACGGATCGTTGCAGACTGAAGAGGTAATTCGTCTGAATTTCTACACCAACATATTGCAATTCATCTAAATTTTAGTAAAAAATGTATTCTGTATCATGCTTCGGAGAATATATGCATCCTGTTGGTTAAATTTCTTTCTCATAATGATTTAAAGCAATTGGGTAACAAAGCTATATTGCTTTGCTAACCCGTTGATCTACTTTCTGCCTCAGACACAGCGGAGAGATGTAAAAGTTCAAGAAGGAAAGCCACTGGTCGACATCAATGTAAGTAATTAGCACAGAGCTTCATAGTTTTAAACATAGCATCATTTCATTTTGCACTTGAATATTTTCTTGATCGACTGGTTCCTACTGGTAATTCCAAATTTAGGGGAATAAAAAAGCATCCAAGCTAGTTAATTAACGCAAGATCATACAAAATTGTTGTCTAATCATCATCGATGTAAGACCTGAAAAGGGCTAGTTTATTTTCAGGACTAAACATATTGTTCATATTCTTTCTGGCTAAGTAACGAGTTTCTGATCTCTGTTTATCCTTGTATTGTCAAATAACAGAGAGAATTGGAAGGATTGGATGAAAAAATAAAGTTATGGTCAGGAGGGAAGGAGACCAACATCCGCTTGCTACTTTCTACACTTCATTATGTAAGTTCTTCGTCTCAAATAACATCATGGACATCGCCCCCTTCATACTAACCCTTGAACTGACATGCAACCATTTTGTGTGGGATCAATACAGATATTGTGGTCAAGTAGTGGATGGTCTCCGATATCTTTGACAAACCTGATTGGAAGCTCACAAGTAAAGAAGGCTTATCAAAAAGCAAGGTTATGTCTCCACCCAGACAAACTGCAGCAAAGAGGAGCGACAATGCTGCAAAAATATGTTGCAGATAAGGCTTTTGCCATCCTTCAGGTAACTCCTTGCTCATGCAATTTAACTACTGAACATCCAAGAATGCATCTGGATTAAAAAAGAAGAAAAGTAGAATGCTATTTGCAGGATTTTGATTTTATTAGTTACTGTTTTGTAGGATGCGTGGTCTGTATATATATCCCAAGATGTCTTCCTAAACTAGAGCCTAATTTGGGATCTTTTGGGAACTCATTTTGAGCGTGAAGGTCAAGAAAGCAGCAAGCAAGTCTGGAACAACCCATTTTTGCATTAAGAATCTTAGAGCCACCATGATTACGTACAAAGAAAGTTGTGCATAAAACCGAAATCGGGTTCACTACGGCCTGTATGTATGTAAGATATATCTACTTATACTTATGTAGTGTATGTGTAGATTCATATTTCATTGTGCAGCAACGTTCATATTGCAGAACACTTGTGCTTTGCATATGTACATACACATTTGAACAGATTTCAATACATATTAATCAAGTAGAATGTTCAATCAGTATGATTCTGTTTTTTGCTACCTTAAGAATTAGTGATTTTTAGACAGATCCATGCAGAATATTTGACCATTGAGGAGCCGAACTGAGTTCAACTTCTAGTGCTTAACCTGTCTTGAGCTAGGTATGCATAACAATAGATGTAAGTTGATAGTCATCAAGTTGAAAAATGTTGATCAAAATTAGGAAAACTCTGGTTTATACAGTGAATTCATTGCTGGAAACATTAGAACATGAAAGATTGATGTGATAGGTGATGATTATCATCAAATTTTGGAGGATTAGGAGTACGAAACCTAGACCCAAAAAACCTATATCATGATGAAGAACTCAATGGATTGAAGTTCCTCTGTTTCTAAGCCCCTTCTCTTAACAACTCTCTAAACTCATCATCTGTGGATTTGAGCATAAGTGACAAAGACACATCCTTACCACTCTGCTCAGTCTCCACATACCTAGGCTTTATCCTCTTCTCCAAGCTAAACGAAAAATACTGAGGAAAACCCTCAAGCTCCTCCAATTTTCTATGCATCTCACCAGAAAAGTACTCAAACTTCGGCTTGAAGTTATTTTCAATGCTGAAAGTAAGCAGTGCTGGACATCTCAAAACCATCCCCACAATGGCACTCTTAGAAAACCCCAAACTCCCCAAATATCTCAGCTTAGGAATCAAGGTCTTCTCCACACTAGAAACCAGCAACACAGGATCATGGTAAGCCAAGGCCTCCAAATCCTTCAACCCAAGTCTTTGAAGGTAAAACAGAGTAGGTTTCAGCTGATCTTTGGCACTGGAAGCAAGCAACCTAGGGCATTTGTTGATAGCCCTTCTGAAATTCTGATCTGGGACTTTAAGATCTTCAGAGAGGAAGGTGAAAACTGGGATTAGATCAGTTTTGACATCAGAAGTGAGGACTTTAGGACACATTCCAAAGATCTTGGCGAAGTCCTTTTGGTGAATGCCTTTGGATTGGAGGAAGGAGATGACAGAGTGAATGGATTGAAGAGTTGCAGAGTGGAGAGATGGGTTGAGAGAGAGGGCCTTGCCGGCGTCGACGCCCATGACTTCGAGGCAGAGGATTTTTTCTTTGGTTTGGGAAGAGAGAGTGGAGTGAAGAAGAGGAGGAGGATGCTTGTGGAAGAGGAGGGTTGTGGGTTTGGGTGATAAGAAAGGGTTTGGTTGGTGTGAGTTTGAGGGCGAAGAAGAAGAAGAAGAAGAAGAAGAAGAGAAGCAGAGAGAAGAGTGGAAAGGAGTTGCAGGCATGGTGGAGGGTGGAGAGAATGGAGTGTTGTGAAGAACATGGATTTTATGGATATTTAGTGGAAGTTTGGAGGAAGATGATTGGTCAATAATGGATTTCCAAGATTGTTTGTTTGGGTCAGAAAAATCGCCTCAAATTTTCTCTGTGGATTTGTCATGAGATACATTTGGATGAAAGTTTTTTTTTTTTTTTTCCTCTCTCAGAATTAATAAAAATATCTTAAATTTCATACTTTTTCTTAAAAAAATACTCTTAAAATTTTTTAATTCCAAAAAAACATATTAAACTTTAAAATGTTTCATTAATACCTTTTAATTTTTTTAAAAATATATTAAACTTTTAGAATATTTCATTAATATATAACTTTTTAAGTCAAAAACATTTTTAGTACTATGTTTAAAAAACACATAAAATTTTGAAAGTAGCATTAATATACTTTTAATGTTTATTAGAAAAAAATATTTAAAAAAAGTATTTATCATAAATAAAAACTGACTATCTATATCTCATATTAAAAAAAAACATTAATATGAATGAAAAAGTGAGTACCTAGATAATAAATAAATAAATAAAATTATTTTTTTTTACTTTTTCAATTCAAAGGGATTAATGAAATTTATTAAAGCTTTAGAATGTTTTTGAGACAAGATATGAGATCTCATACCGATTGAAGAGATGAACAAATGCCAGCGATGGTAAAGAAACCCTCCCTAACAGAGCAGAACATTTTATAAAAACGTTGAAAGAAAGCTTAAAGGAAAAGCCCAAAAAAGACAATATACCTTTTTTTTTAGTTCAACTTTTGAACGAAGTATTGATTATTTTCGGTATTTCTTTTAATTTCAGAATATAATTAACACTCAAAAAATAATTAATACTTTTCAAGAATATTTTTTAGACAAAAACAACGTTAAAAAATATTTTTATTAATTTAACTTTTTTTTAGAGAGTTTATTACTAAAATAATGAAGTTTTTACTTCAAGAAAAAAAAAATCATACTTCCATTTGATCGAGTGAAGGTATTTTGATGGTCGAGTCCAATTCTATGAGCTTAACAACACAAAGGTAGAAAGCATTTTAACAAGAAAAATTTGTAGTCATCAACAACAAAGTGCTGATGAAATGCCATCCATGGAACAATTCAATCTAACATATCTTCATAATAAGCTACAACATTTCAAGAGTCTTTAATATTACAATATTCAAAAAAACGAACCCATGATCGACTCTGGATAACGACCTCGACGAAGATAGTAAAACGAGGCTATAATTACAACAGTTGACACAAACAGAGAGATGATACTGGTACTACTAAAACTGCAAAACTCATAATTGAGCAGCAACAGAGATGAACAGTTCATAAATACAATGAGTAAGGTTCTCTAGTATTCTCCAAATGGCACACAACCAAAACTATCTTTTGAGTAGTAGATAGATACTAGTAGTTGTAATTGCACCAAATAGGTGCTCAAATACTATTACTTTGAGTAGGTTTTACTTAGCACTGCAAAAAGAAATGATGGGGAGAGCTAAGTCAGAATCACACCCTCGTTGCCTGGCTTCCTTTCTCGACGACATATTTTTTGAAATGTGAGGCTGATCCATCACCAGAAAACTAGCAGAGTGCTGAGAAGTAGAAATGTATAATCAGCAGCTATTTCATGAAGTTAAGAGATGAGAAAAAACTAGCAGAGTGCTGAGAAGTAGAAATGTATAATCAGCAGCTATTTCATGAAGTTAAGAGATGAGAAATTTGGGTTTGTGAGTACTTTTAATTGGAAGCCAAGTCTCAAGATTTCCCCTGGCTTCTGCTTGCTGAGTGTTGTCGCAGCAGTTTTTTACCATGATGATCATCCTGCAAGAGCAAGAGCATCTCAATCCGTTGATCTTTCAGTTCCTCAAAACAATAACAATAAAACCCGTTGATCTTTCAGTTCCTCAAAACAATAACAATAAAACAAGAAAAAGAGAGGCGTCTTTCCGAAGACTATCTGTTTATAAAAAGACTGGCTGATTCAAGCACATACGCCATTGATATCAGACTCAACAAAAACTAAAGATGGGATTCTCTTAGACGGAGGAAGTGGCCAAGAATCATCGCCCAAAACCGAAGAAAGAAAGAGAAACAAAAGAAAAGAAAGGGGAGAACTGGTAAGGGGTAGAGGATGCTGCATTCAGTGTTCCTGTTGAGGATTGTTGGGAGGGAGTCCCACATTGGCTAATTTAGGGAATGATCGTAGGTTTATAAGTAAGGAATACATCTTCATTGGTATGAGGCCTTTTGGGGAAGCCCAAAGCAAAGCCATGAGAGTTTATGCTCAAAGTGGACAATATCATACCATTGTGGAGAGTCGTTATTCCGAATATGGTATCAGAGCCATGCCCTAAACTTAGTCATGTCAATAGAATCCTCAAATGTCAAACAAGAATTGTGAGCCTCGAAGGTGTAGTCAAATAGTGACTAAAGTGTCAATCAAAGGGTGTACTTTGTTCAAGGGCTCCTACGAAGGAGTCAAGCCTCGATTAAGGATAGGCTGTTCGAGGGCTCCACAAGCCTCAGAGGAAGCTCTACTTTGTTCAAGGGGAGGATGGTTGAGGGTTGTTGGGAGGGAGTCCCACATTGCTAATTTTAAAAAATGATCATGAGTTTATAAGAAAGGAATATATCTCCATTGGTACGAGGCCTTTTGGAAAAATCCAAAGCAAAATCATGAGAACTTATGCTCAAAGTGGACAATATCATATCATTATGGAGAGTCGTTATTCCTAACATATCCCACCTCAAATACTAATTCCTTGGAGTTCTCGAGTGAATTGCAATATTTTTTTAAAGATATAGAAACAATTTCATAGACAACCCCGAGCCAAAGGAAATTGGAGAAAACACTCCCACTTGGCCAAGAGTGAATTAAAAATCGTAGCTGTTTAAAAATGTGTATACCAACCCCAAGCTAATTATACGTTGTCTTCCTGTCGTTGAAGATTCTAGTGTTCCTTTAAAGACACAAGCTCAATGGCGGGAAAATATACATTAAGTGAATCGAAACCATAGGACGTTTGTTGGTCGTTAAAAAGATTGTCCCACCATTCGTGTCCATGGGAAGGGCTATATACCACTTGTGTCCGAGGTTACGATGAAACTTCTATCAGTGATTCTATAATACAACAACATTTTTTTCAATGTAATTCATTGCTTTTTCATTCCAAGTGGTTTTTTTTAGAAACTTTGTGTGAGACCCACCTCAGTTGGAGAGGAAAACGAAACCTTCCTTGTAAGGGTGTGGAAACATCTCTCTAACAAACGTGTTCTAAAACCGTGAGCCTGACGGCAATACGTAACGGGCCAAAGCGGACAATATTTGTTTGTGGTGGGCTTGGGCTGTTACAAATGGTATCAAAGCCAGATATCGGGCAAAGTGCCAACGAGGACGCTGGGGCCCCCAAGGGGGGTGAATTGAGAGATCCCACGTCGGTTGGAGAGGGAACGAAGCATTCCTTGTAAGGGTGTGGAAACCTCTCCCTAACAGACATGTTTTAAAACCATAAAGCTGACAGCGATACATAACGGGCCAAAGTGGACAATATCTTTTAGCGGTGGGCTTGGGTTGTTACAGTTTGGAGCCCAGAAAGGTGATATTCTTAATTATAGACGTCACATTTAAGGACAGTTCAACGGTAACTTCTTTTCCAATTTTGCATTTTCAGCACACTGACTAGTTCATTGCCTGTTATATTCTTACATTTAGGCCACTTGTACATAGTTTTGGTGTCAATTGAGTTCATCAAGGCAAAAAGTTCCTCTATCATCATCCCTTTGTTGGTTGAGACCGGGTTTTACGGTTCAGGTTGTTCTGTGAACTCTTCGGTTCAAAACATAGGTTTTCAAGATGTTAGCGATTAGAGAGCTATGCACTCTAATGCTTTCTCCCTTTGGTGGAGGAAAGAAAGAGGGTTCAACATTGTTCTTAAGTTTATTATTATGAGTCAATTGGATTTTTGAATTCATTGCTTTTTGTACAGCCTTTTGACTACTTTTGTTTGGCTTAGTTTCTGGTGGTGTTTTGTATTCTTTCAGTGTCTCCATGAAAGTTGTGATTCTTCTGAAAAGCAAAAAAATAATGGCAGATATACTCTAGTGTTCCCAAGGCAAACCAGCTCTACCACCCATATAAGCTATGGCAAAGAGTTATCCAGCACAACAGCATTTACATGGCAGACAAGCAAAAAGGATGATATGCTCCAATAGAATCCAGAATTCATGTATTGATTCAATGAAGAAAGAGAAACAAGATCTGCCTTCATTTTCCATTAGATAATATGAATTGTAGAAAGTTAAATGGAAACTGACCTTGTAAAGTGATGCTGCTGACTCAGATTGCAACGTCTGAACTCCCGTACGCCCAAGGGATTGCAGAGCATCAAGTGCATCTAATGTCAGCTGCCAGCCATTAAGAGCGACTAAATCTGCATTGGCGTTGGAGCCACCACTTGAACTGCCAGCAGCAGCAACGTTTCCATTTACCCAAGGGCAAAATTGATTGTGATGGACTATTGGGTCGAACTCGATTTCATAATTGCTTTCCCCTTTTTGAGGCGCTGAAAAAGATGAGTCCCAAATCACTAACGGAAGAAAATTGGAATAATATGTTTAAGTAGGTAAAATTGCTACGCCAGATATGCAGAATTCTTAAAATATACCCGCATTTGGATCCTTGATCTTATTTTGTCCATGAGTAGGTCGTGCAGCAGCATCGTGACTGCTGTTCACGAGGACTGTCTTGCAGCTTTGGCTTGTCTTTCCACCACTTTCGACAGAATCATCTTTAGCAGAACCATCGATTTTCGATCCACTATCAGCTCTTTCTACAGGTCGAGAAAACATCTCTTGGCTATCACCATGAGGGTCTTCCCTGATGAGGTCATCAGGAACGATCTCATCCATTAGTCCAGGATCAGGGGCAGATTCACCAGTTTGTCCCTGGTTCTCTGCATCCTCTAGTCTGGGTTCGACGTCACCAACAACGCTATCTGTCCTATGAACCATTGCATCAGCCCCATGAATTTCAGCCTCATGACTAGCACACATTCCAACACTTCCACCACTTATTCCAAAGCTAAACACATCTCTTGCCTGAGTGGTGACAGTATCAGCATTGAATATTTCTTCACCGTCATTTGTACTGCTGACACCCATTTCACCAGGAACTTCGGAAGCTGGTCGAAGAAAAATCCTCTGCTGAGCTTGATTGCTATAAATCAATTCTGATGTTTCATTATTATCTAAATTCCCGTGTGTACTGGAAGAGGGGAAATGAACATCAACATCCCCTGGATAATTTTCGACACTTTCCATAGAGTCCTCGTCAGCACTATGACATATTGTGTCCATTGCAATAACAGATGATGCACGGGTCGAATCCCTAGCTGATTGAATTCCAGTATATTGGTCGCCTCCTTGCTGAGACGAAGTAAATTTTTCCCCATCCATGGAAAGGTCTAAACCCATAGAATGACTTGGACCAGCACCTGCTGAATCTCTTTGGTAAGAACAGAAAGTATCAAAGAAATCAGAATCACGTGTACGTTTTGAAGGTCCAGCTGAATATTGTCTATTGTCTGTGACTTCATCACCATCGCGATCTATAACAGTTCCTTCAACACTATCAGCTTGATGCATCCTTACACGAGCCCTGTCATCTGAACTCCCATGTTTATCCAAACTCCGTTTACGGGAGCTAGGACCTCTTGATTCATATGAAGCCGCACGATCACCAACCTCACTGCCTGAAGGTTGCCCAATCATCAGATCCCTTCCCAAATCCCCATTGGGAATATGTTCAGAGGTTGTATTCTTTTCCAATTGAGAAACGTCTAGGCCCCCTGCCATTGTCAGATTCAAATCAACATCTGTGTTTGGTTGTAAGTTTGCCTCGTTTGTTGTTGCTACTTCATCACGATCTTCAATACGTTCTTTATCGGCATCGTCAGTAGTCACCCATCCATTAATCCCACTAGCTGCACTTACTCCACGTGTCAGTCCCATTTTCTTACTTGTAGAAGGAATATCAATGTTGTTGGGAGCAAAATGAGCAGGTCGAGAAACAGTTGGGAAATCCAATATCCTAACTGTAGCACCACATATGCTACAATCTAGTATAGGTGATCTAAATTCACTTCTAGAGTCCTTAATCAGCAATTTACCCTTTCCAGTGTCCTTTTTAATGGAAGTAGAGAGTGATTTCTTGCTTTGAGCAGCATCATGCAACTGAGCCTCAGTAGGCCCAAAAGAACACCCATTTCGAGCTGATTGTGCAGAATGCTCTTCACAGTCTTGAACATCTAAATGCCATCTTGGTTCCCACCCACAAAGGCTAATAATTTTCTGAGCCTGGAAAATTAGGAAAAAAAAGCAACACATAATTAGGTATGGTAGTGTATCCAGCTGAAGAATAAATGGGAATTAGAAGACCGACGAAATGTTAATGATAATAAAGTAACCTACTTGAGAATACAAATAAAACGTTCCATCTTGAGAGCTGTCAAGCAGTTCACGTGTACCCTCTGGCTTTACATTTACTTCACCCATCGTGGAATTAGAGGATTGTGTTAAAAAGCGATCAAGCTGTGCACTCCGAAAAGTACGCATTTGTTCAATTGCTGAAGAAGCTATAGAAGGCAAAGATTGAAACTGCAGAAGTCCATCGCATCGATCCTTGAAGCCTCCAACTAAAGCAGACTGGGGTGTTGGAGGGAACTGCACCAAACTTTCAGGGCAGCTATTTCCTCTCCAAGGACAAGAGACTTTATGTCCAGAATCCAGCTGCTTTGTAAACTCAGCAAGTTGAACTTCATTAACACACAAAAAGGAGGAGAATCATAGGCAATTAATATCAGCCATTCATAGGTAATTAATATCAAC